TGTAAGATAAGAGAAGAGAATTCGAATTCTAATCTAGTTTCTTACATTTACTTCGCACTAATACTTTTTGGGAAAGGCATGAATCCACATCACTCGCCAGCTGTTGGTTAAATAGCAGTGTAGAGTGAGTTCTTTAGCCTTGGGTAGTTGCTAGTCTCAGAGAATGACTATTCAGATCCGTGGCGAAGGCAAGAAGGAACCACAATCTTTCCTAAGGACTTTATGGCAACTTACAGATAATAAATATGACGTTCGTGCTCTCGGTTTGGCATATCTGCAAGATATGCATTTAGGTTCCTTAAAAGCCCGTGGAAAGCCCGCGCTTTTCACAAAAGCATGAAATCAATTCTCTTGTAGACCATAGTGTGACCAAGAGCACTGCCATTGATGTCAACAAATTTATGTTTTTCGAGATAACATGTTACAAGTGGGCAGTGTGCATCAGCTGGACGGACCACAAAACAAATGAGTCTGTCTTGGGGGAGTTGGCAATTGGTCGTGACAATAAGGAAGCGAAAACTGTAATATTTTAGCCATGCCATCAGGGCCGAGATCCTCTGCACCTACGTCTTGGTGGGACACATTGATACCAAGAGATTGAGGGGAACACCAACACTGGATTAATGACGTCAGAGATTGAACAGAGAGGACGCTGATGGTGTGTACGGCTGTGGCGAGGGAGAGGAGATGATTGAGAGCATTGGCACAATTTTCCATGGTCCCAGACCCCCCAGCATGGAAGTTGGGAAGAAGCAATTTATCAAGGTGTGTTTTGATAGCAAAAATGAAACTGGTATCAAGTGACTCAAATCTTTGTTTTAAAAAAAAAGTCCCTAAGGAGTACTCCTTAAGCTTATATAAAGGCATGCATTTATCTCCCTACTTTCTTTTACAGCTTTTTCAAATCTGGCTACAAGATATCGTCTCCGTATAGTTGGAATGCGACCACTTGAGTTAAGTGCATTTTTCTTTCTCTCTCTTGACTTTTGAACTCTTTTACCCACGTCTATCACGTAGGCCTACACAAATTTCACACACACAAAAATACGCACATTCTTTAAATCGTTTCTTCTTTTATTGTAATTGTAATTCCTTTTTGTCAATACAATTAGTTGTAGTTTGTCTTATATTAATTTCTGTTACTCATTTTTTTTACATGGATTCACATTGAGTCCGCCAATATTGTTTGTGGGATAGGAGCCCATAAATATTTACTATCTAGTGTCGATTACCGCAACATAATGATGACTAAATATTTACCCAATCATATAAACATCCCGCAACAAGACTTTCCTCTGAGGTTATGCAACTTCAATGAGGCAGAAAAAAGAGCAAATGTTCAGTAAGGTTAATATCTTCTTGCTTAGACAATTACACATTTATTTTTCTAGATTTCAAAAAATAGGAAGAAAAAAAAACTTCCGCCCTGTCTGTTGGAGTTGTAGAATATGTCAACTGCACTTCTGCAGAAGGGTAAGACCTTTCCCCAATAAGACACAAATTTTACAATATAAAAGTATTAAAAAACTATATGAAAAGACCGAAAGCGTCAACATAATGTCTTACTTTATAGAAATAGGTTTATACCAAAATATATAAAACCTATAATAGATCGTCTACAAGTGAAATATCTATAAAATATGCGTTTAACATGAAAGTATTAAATTATGTACACAATATCTGTAGTTGAAGCCATAAAATTGCGTACAAAATATTTAGATTGCGGCATTAAATAACCCATATAGGTCTTGATATGCCGCTAAACAAAAACAACCAAACTAAAGAAAAACTTAGAAAAAATACACGGACACATACATACAGGCAAACAAACAAAAATTACAAAATCTTTGAATTTGTGGAAGCATGACGGTGTTTTCGGAGTTAGCTCCACCTGAGCTCCTTAACTCTTCAGCAGGGGTCTCTCTCCCCTGGCTATAAATTCTAGCTGACCCTTTGCCTCGATCTCTTTTTTCCTCAGGCTTCAGCCTTACCACCTCGCAGATGTGAGCTCTCACAGATACAGCGTTTCCCAAATTCTGGGAACACGCTAAGAACAATACACGTACGTACGAACACTCACCACAACACACACACATAATATTCACCACGCGCACTCAATGTAACTGTCCTTGTAACTTGTACTTGTTATTAATATATATTTGTTTACATATATTTATCGGTCTTGTTTGTTTTCTTTGGACTTAATTAAAGTCCAACTTTCTCATGTAGTTAGACCGGCTAGCAGGAAATTCTACCCACATGTGTTCTTTTACAATACTCACTTCATCACCACCGCCACGGTCTGCCAGTGTAATGATTTCCGTATTTTCCGGGAATATCCTTGGAGTTTTAAATTTTTTTTCTCATTTGTATATTTTTAATTAAAATTATCGAGCCAAAATAGTTTAATTAACTCTTACGTGTTATCACAATTACTACAAAGACAAAACGCAGGTGTGGTTATTTGGTAGGATTTTCTTGGCTGGAAACTTTGGAATAAAACGAACTGTGGTGAAAAGGAATCATATATATTATTACTTATTATAAAACCCAGGTTGTGTGTGTGTGTGTCTGTCTGTTCGTTTATATATTGGATCGGATTTCCTACATTTTTCAACCGATTTCAACAAAACTTCACAGGACTACGTAAAATTACCTTGCTGTGGTTCTGACAGTGCCAAAAATTGGAAAAACAATTGTTTTTGCACGAAATCAATTTGAAAACACGATTAAGAGGCATCGCTTCGCGAGAATGGAAGGGTGACAACTCATATCGAGTTATACTTATTATAAAACCCAGTTTGTTTGTGTGTGTGTCTGTGTTCGTTTATATATGGGATCGGATTTCCTACATTTTTCAACCGATTTCAACAAAACTTCACTTTTTTTGGCAGGTAGTGTTTCTTATTGTCTTGCACACTTTTTTTTTATTTTTACATTCAGAATGCTTTAAAATTCCATTTACAAGACAACTGTTTATAATAAAATTCTATTCAATCGGTAGACTCATAACGATTGAAAACAATGTTTTTGTTTGAGTTTGGGTTTGACCAATTCGTAAAAAAAAAAAAAAAAACCCAAAAAACAAAAAAACTAATTAAGACATGCGTGTCCGTCAACCTTAAACAATAAACTTTGTCAATTTTATTTTTCAGTCTTTATGATGGTCGATACTTGATTACTGTTACATCCCAGGCAACGCCGGGCTCTACTGCTAGTCTGCAAATATAATATATATTTTTTATTTATTTGGTTTAAACTGAGTCCTTTGATATTCGGGGTAGCAAAATATTCATTTATAGGGCGGATATTAGTAGCAATCTGGAGAAATGTCTGTTTCGGCTCGGTACTGATAGATTCGAAATCAGACCGTACTAGGGGTAATAGTAATATTAGAAATAAGTCAGTGTCAATCTACTGTGTTTTTATCGGCCCTCAGAAGGGTAGAAAATATCATTAGCAGATGACCTCTTAACTACTTCTTCACGTGTCACGCTTGGCTGGTTTCACCGGTGGTAGCGTCTTTTGTTCCGTTCTCCTTCTTAGAGGTGTCAGCTTATATCCCTTTGACCTGGTTCCGAGATTCTGGCGGGAACCTTGATTTCAGTTCACATCATTTGTGCTTATTATTTTTTTTAATGGCAAAATTATTTTATTTTCCGGTGTTCCTTTCTTTTTAATTTTTTTTATAACGGAAGTTATGTGTGGATCCTCCGTAATTTATATGTATGTACCGTGTGTAACTGCAAAAATAGTCCAAAACGTGTAACAGCATACGATAATTGCCCACCCCACAAAATATTTAATATCTAAAAAAAAAAAAGACATTAAACTAATTAAGTTTATTTTTTCCAGGTTTTTTTTTTTAGCAATCTTGACACCATTTGTCGTAAGAATCACTGAAAAAAACCTTTGAGTTATTCAGCTAGAAAGAGAACAGGTTAAAATCATTTTATGTCTGCCCCACTGTCTTCACAACTGAGCAATGGTGAGAGGAAAAACATCATTCAGGCCTTCAGTCATGGTACCAATATTCATACTCTGGCTTCCATCTTCAAAATCCATTCAAGAACCATCAAGAGAATGGTGAATAAATTTTAAAAAGAGGGAACAGTTGAGAGGAAAACTGGGTCAGGAGGTCACAAGAGGAAGAGGGATCATCATTTCAACTTAGAGCTAAATACATTCTTATTGTTCAAACTAGAGTCCAACAGTGTTATAAAAACCTCAGAAAATTCCAGTAAAATATCTTTAATCATTTCTAAGATACAACAGTTCAAAGCTTAATCTAACAATTGGACAATTTTGTTATACGATTTGGACAATTTTTCTGTTCCACTCGAAATATATCGGAAAGATAGGGTGAGTAAACCTAAGATAGCTCATCTAAATCATGGAAAACATTCGTTTCAAATGTCCACTGCTTTGCAACTATAGCCATTCATGTGAATGTGATTTTTTTTTTTTAAACAAAACATCCGGAGTGAGACTCCCTATGGAAGTTCGTGGTTTAATTCGGTAACACCCTGACGAAACCGGCGGCAAAGCTGGGACTATTTGTCTTTGCCATTAGATCATTTCAGCGACATGGAGATGTGGATACGTGTACTGTATAAGTAGCAGTCCATTCTCCATATCTGCCCACATATGCCTTGTTCACTGGAGCTACAAATATATTTTTAAAAGAGACCCGAATATCCAAAGTATAAACTGAGACACATGGGAAGTTGTAGCCTTCGAAAAATCAAGCGATGCAGAAAGGCCTCCTTCAAAGTTATATACTACGATAAGCTATATATTAACAATTTTATAACTCAACTGGTAGTACTCCATTAGTCTGACCTTGTGCCAAGTTAAATAAAACATAAATATCTATAAGAATAAATAAATTAAAAAAAAAGTAAAGCAAAGTTTATTATATCTCGGTTTGAATCAAATAACAAAATGACAAATGTCGTAAAAGCGTTTTTTTTTATAAGTGAAGAAAAAGTATTCTGATGCTATTTGCGTTGAAACCCCGGATCTCGTGTGATCACCGAAGTTAAGCAACATTGTGTCTGAGCAGTACTTAAATGGGTGACCGCAGGAGAATATCAGATGCTGTAAGCTTCAAGGTGCAAATGGATATTTTTGGTCATTACCCTTACTCTGATGACTTGAATTGTAAGAAATCAGCCATGGTTGTATAGTCTAGACAGTATCTGCTAATAGGCATCCTCAAAAACTTCCAAATGTTCATCAGTCATGGCGGAACTGTATTTGGACTTAATAAGCTTCAGGTGGGAAAAGGCTGACTCGTATAAATAACTTTAAGCTAAATGATGCAGTCAAGAAAGTTGCACATTTCCTTGGGTTTGCGTACTTTTCCTCAGTGAGCAAGTTCCAGAACAATCTGTAGGCCCTGGACTTCTACTCAATGTCAGCTTGTAGTGTTAAAATGTCAGTCTCCACTCCAGAAGAGTTCAGATGAAACAGCGTTGCAATTTTTGACGAGATTGAATCAACTTCAACATCATCTTGAAATGGTTTGCACATAAATCTAGCAACTGGCTAGAGTAAAGAAAAGTCTTGAAAGCGTCTGTCAAACTCTGGCAGATAATTGTCGATCTGTTATATGTAGCGCTCAAGGTCAAGTTTTTTATGACTTCTGTCGCAAGCTCTTGAAAGTTTTCCAAATCATGGCGGTGCTGCTTTGAGGACAGATGCTTCATTTTTCATTTGAAAATATTGACTGAGCTGATCATTTTGACCACAGTTTTGTTTTTTTCTAGCAGCTCTAAATTAAGCACATTCAACATATTGGTCAGATCAGTTAAAAATACCAAGTCTAGCAAGCAGCCACATTTGGTTGGATTTTGTACGTTCAGCCACGAGGAGAAACGCTTTATCTCCGGACAGAGCTATCGAAATCTGTCGGAATCCTCGCCCCCTATTTTGTTATTCTCATCACTCTGTGTTGCAACAACACAGAGTGATCACAGCCCGCCTTCTCTAGATGCGCACGAGACAGCCACCCTTGAAGAGATTTGGCTCGAATAGAAAAGGTGATCTTCATTGCCACATCATTATCTCTTTCATGTTTAGCATTTTTGCGCATAATGCTTGTAGGCGTATTATACAATGGTAATTAAGGAATTATTGTATGCTTTTCTATTCTGATCATAATTCTCATCTTGGACACAGCACATAGAAGAATTTTCACCCTTGTGGCAATCCTTCATTTAAGCGGCATAAAATAAATTGCTATTCCCTGAATGGCGTTAAATCAATAAAACCAATTTATATACGTTTATTACAATTAAACATTATTACAATGGTTAATGGTGGACTAAGCAGCAAATAAATGCCGAAAACACAGGACTATTCTTGGACCACTGACGCGACACGATTTCGTGAAGATGCTACGTGAACGACGCCTTAGAAGTTCCAAAATGTCGACACAGTTGACGCGCATCCAAAGATTTTCCAAGTTTTGAGTTGGGATGATGGCCTTGAGAAATATCTTCTCTTGATAATAATTCGTTCGTATTGATGATTGACTGCGAGACACTCGGTTTACCACGTGACACGGCCGAAATGAAAAAGGACAATTTATTTCACGCCGCTTAAGTGATGGATTGCTGATAAAATAAATAAAAAAAATCAGGATGTACTTGTATGATGAAAATACCAGGTTAATCTGTATTTTTATTAGAAATATTTACAAAAAAAAGTATTTGGTAGGGAGAGATATTATTATGTACCTCTGAGATTCTTCACCTATTGAGGCGTGTAAACTCTCCCAGAGAGACGGGCTGTGAGTTTTGTAAGGATTTATTTTGAATGGAAGATTGGGAGAAAAAATTAAAGGAAAAATTGCCTAATATTGAGGCTGAATGGGAAGTGGTGTAAATTGAAAAAAAAAAAAACAAAACAAAAAACAAAAACAAAAAATGATTCCAAATGTTAGTTACGATAAATGAAATCAGTCGTGAATAGGCTGAGGATGATGGTGAGTTAAGAGTTACGAACTATAAAACGGATAAAAATATTCAGCACGAAGCAAACTCTTACAATATCATCTGCTTCACTCTTTTTGTTTAAGTGAGTTGACAAGATGAATAACGTCAATTTCAAGGACACATGGCACATTGGATAAAGGCATTAGTTAGATCCAGTGACATAACCTAAAGAGTGTGAGTTCAATACCTGGTTAAAGCAGTGGAGAACTTCGAGAAGGGAATTAACAGGAGATAACTGACATCCATGAAACATGGCACGTGGAACTAGAACAGTCTACCCCAGTGAGTGAAATAATGTATTCATTTCGACATTCCAACCACCTGAGCGTACAATGGCCGAAACGTTGTAATAAATATGGCAACAAAGATGAGGACAATAGTCCGAATAATGTAAATAGTGTACATAATACCTCATCTCAGAAATATAAACAGAAACACCAATTTTGTTACTACAGAACATTCTCGACTACTCGCACCTTGATTTTCCAGAGTTCGATTATCCGAACATGAAATCAAAAATGGTAACATTTCTTGACTGACGAGGCAACTCATTTTGTGGTTTAACTTTTTAACACAAGTCTTGTTTTGTTATATTTTGTGATCTTAAACTTTGACAGTTTAATGGCCTCGAATTCTAATGATAAAACAAATAGAAAATCTATAGTGTTATTATAAACATACAACATAATCCTCGCCCAAACTTCCCACTGATCGGTCACCCCACCCGGAAACATTGCATTCCGATTATCAATCTCGTTGGTGTACACCGAAAGCTGGGGAAGGGTCCATTGCATGCTCAGAAGGTAACATGATGAAAGACGAACGCCACATCGGTAAATAAGAACGCGAAACCGGTTTCCCCATTTTATATGTATATGTCTTCTTTAGGGCTTTGACTCCTTGTCCGAGTGGGTAGGTAGGTAATACTTGGGACAACTATGTCAGTTCCCCCCCCTATCAACTCCTCACCCCGATGGACAAGCCTGTCCCCCCACTCCGAGGGTAGATCAGAAGTGTCTGTTAATATAGACCAGCACCCGGATGTACCCTATTTCCGATTTTGTTGAGACATGATCTCCCAAAACGCTTCATCCATTCCTTTATTTCCGTGTTATCCTTCGGTCAAAGTGGATACTGCTGAGAAGACTGAACTTCCAAAGGATTGTCTTGATAAGTTTTCCTTGTTGGTACCTCGAATTCATCAATTGAAGCGCAGCACTAGATTGGCAGCTAGGTTCCATACTTTTATTATTGAAATTGCTAGTTTTAACTATAAGTTTTATGTTAATAGTTTCTTCTCTCGCTAGCAATTTCAATAATAAAACTATGAAACCTAGCTGTCAAAGTTGATTGGGAAGCAAGAAGAGGGTTCTGCAAGCAAGAAGTGTGAGAGAAGAAACTGTTCGCATAGAACTTATGGTAACATCTAGTTGTCTCAATTGTAAAATGATGAGACCTTGCCACCCATCTAGTAGTACATTAAAATTCCTAAAGTCTTGCTACCAAAGAGGAAAGCTCATCAGAACAATTAGCATGAAAATATTTATAGAAAAGGTACAGAGAAGCTACATTAAGGTAGTGGGAAAGTAACTGAACATGCCAGGTTAGGACCAATAACATGGCAGATTCTTTCTATTTTATCAAGAATCTCTAAAGACACAGCAAAAGCCTGTGACAGCAATATTCAATGCAGAATATCTAAATACAAGATATCCCAGAAAAATTGACATTTAAAATGTGAATATCTGAGTAATTACATGTCCCAGGAAAACAACATTAAATAGGCATCATGTTGAACAATAAAAGATTAATTTATCAAAATTCAAACAAGATATTTTGCATAACATTCTCCAGTGCCTCAGTGATTTTATGCTTAAGTTCCTCTAAGCTTGGAGGAAGACGGGGGTGGGGATATAGACATGTCCTTTCACATAACTCCATAGGAAAAAAAAAAATCACAAGGTATCAAAAATCAGGTGAATGTTTTGGCCATTTCAACAGCACATTGTCATCATCACTGGCATCCCCAATCCATCTTCCTGGTTGATTCTCATTGAGATAAATCTACACAGTCATCTTAGCTTTTACAAATTTTGTTAAAATTTGAGTGAGTGGGATATAGTTTTTTTTTTATGGTGGGGGAGACACTGTAAATGGCATCTGCTTTTAAATACGTTTTAGCATCTGACATTACTTCTGCTCTTTTATTCAGTAACAAACGTGGTTTCGGGAACATCAAAATTGCTTTCCTCTTGTCACAATTTGCAAAATTTCTCCCCCCCCCCCATGCATAACTTACTTTTTTTTTTTGTTTTTTTTCACTTTAGATTAATTTTCAGTTTATCCTTGATTTCTCAGATGGACCAAGATAAAGCGATGTTGTTCTGATATTTATTTCATCCAAATGATGCTAAATGATTATTATTATTATTTTTTTTTTTTGATATGCCTTCAGTCGGGTCAACATAATTCATAGTAGGGAATCCTTCAACAACCCTGTACACAATGTTGCTTGTTAAAAAGTATCCATTTAAGGGGCAATCACCCATTTTTCTATAATTACAGGTTACTATTCAGCACTTTCTGGTTATACCCCTTAATAATATGTTTCATATTGGACATTGCACTATAACTAATTTTTACTTTATTCTAGTTTAAAATGTTGTAGAATTTATATAACATACACTAATACCAAACAGCATGCAAGAACTCTAATCCAAACTGTAGAATTTCATACTACTGTGATCGTCAGATGACAAGATCTGAGGAGGAACCAGAGAAGACTAACTACCTAAATAGTAACATATGGAAAAAAAGAGGGGGGAAAAATGTGAAATGTTACCTACACAGAGGGGGGGGGGTAAACAAAGAAAAAAAGCCTGTAGACAGATGGAATTACCAAGTCCAGGCGACTTTATTCTAAACAAAAACAGGTGAAAAAGACCAAAAGACGTTAGTCTGATGACGCAATATGCATTTATTAATATGCCTAGACCTATTCCCCAGTTAAGATCTTTTATTCAATAATTTAAGTCATTATTCAGCCCTAATATAATGAATTTCCCCTTCTAAGCATACTTTACGCTTGTCCCAGCTGCCTTTACTT